AAAAAAAAAAAAAAAGAAAAAAAAGGGAGTGGACAACTATAGAAAGCACGTATTTAAGGAATAAATTTGTATAGAAAACGTATTCCCTAAATACGTTTTTTCAGATTTTTTTATAAAAAAAAAACGTATTATGCTGATTTGTTTGTGTATTTTTTTTTTTCCACAACTTATTTTTTTTTTTTAATTTTCTGGTAAAAAAATTCTTTGTTTGTGATAGGTAATAATAACCCTTGTGGAGAAAATGTTTGTGGGAAGGGAAATTGCGTGGTTTCGAGTAATAGCACTTTTGGTTACGAGTGCGAATGCGACTCTGGCTGGAAACAAGTTCTTGCAGATGACGATGATGATAACCTCAAGTTCTTGCCTTGCGTCATTCCAAATTGTGAGCTTTTACTTTTTACTTTCATTTTTTTTTTTTCCTTCTAAACTATTCCTTGTCATATATTCGATTTTTTGTATTGCAATATATATTCAACTGTACACGTGTCCCTGTTTATATTATATTACTACTAAATAATAATATTTAACCAATGAGAATAAAATATATTTGTTGTTCTTGGTCAAAAATAATTTATATACTCTAATAAGCAATAGTACAGTTGATATGGTCCTTGTCACGCCCTTATTTGCTTGATAGATGCGTGCGGCCTAAGCCCCTCGTTGCGCCCTTCGCAAACTAGCTTAGTCAGCCTCACCCGTGCCTGGACCGTGCTCGGTGTGTGTGCGAGTGCTAAGGCTAGAAAATGTGGGAAAGAGTGTTGAAGGGAAAATGCTTGTACACTATTCACACAAACTTAGTACATAAGAGCTTGAGTGATGCTTGGATGATTTGCAAATGAGGGTGGCCTCCCCTATTTATAGGCACCACCCTTCTATGGAACCTTCTAGTCCTACAAGGGTCTTGAGAGTTCTAGACCCTTCCCAAAAATCCTACTTCATACACACAAGTCCTAGATCCTTCTACACAACTCTACAAGGTTTTAGGCTCATCAAGTCCCTACTATATGTATCTATACAACTATAGGGCCTTCTAGAAACTCCTAGATAAAACCTCTACAAAGGTCACTAGGTACAAGACTTAGGCCTGACACGAGTGTAAATTCTACTGGTTCGGCTTGGTGCAAGTCGGTAAGCTCGTCGGCCTGAAAAAGCGATGTAATTGCGCCGGCGCAAAGATGTTCCGACGCCAAAGTCAATATCTTAGAATAGAGGAATAACTTACGATTAATGTAAAGTGATAACAATAAATGAACCTTACCTTCCTATTGCTTAATTCACCGTTTATATCGTGCTTAATCGTACGGTTTTACTTTCAGGGTCAAAAACCTCGAGCGTCTACCGGTCGAGCCTAATTCAATTGATGCTCGGCCACGTATATCGACACTCGCCCGACCCTTAACTGTCCTTAATATCGACCAATGGTAGATGTGTTTGACCATCCGGGCCAAGGGACTATGTATTCGACCCTTTGGGCCCGGGATCTTTGTATTCGACCTTCCGGGCCAAAGATTTATGTGTTCGACCCTCCAAGCCAAGGCTCTACGGGTTCAACTCTCCGAGCCTGGGGTCTATGTATTCGAGTCTCTGGTGAAGAGTCTATGTTTTTCGACCCAACAGACCAAGGATCTATGTGTTCGACCTTCTGGACCAGGGTCCAATTCGACCCCTAAGTCAACACGTTCGACCTTCCGAGCCGATCGGGCCATGTTTGACCCTACGAGCCGGTCAATTCTCCGGCCCTCTTCGGCCCCGGCTCAATTCCTTGGTCCATTCGACCCCGATTTTATGGGTCCTTATCCGGTTGAGTCGAGCCGGTACTAATATTCCTATCAACGGTGAATTTACTAATGTTAATGAACTTATCAACATGTGTCTTCGTAGATGGTGTAAGAATGAAATTCATGCTTACATATTGCTTATATATTTAAGTGGAGTTTGTGTGGAAATTTGCATTGACTTTTCTCACAGTGTAATTTTTGGTTAATTAGAGTTAATTTGGAAAGAGATGGCATGATTAGTTGTTAATGGGATATTAGATTTATATTAAAATAATATTTAAAATAAAATAATTTAAGTTGGGTTGATGTAAAAGTGGGAGATATATGATATGAAGTGATTGTTAGTTAAAACTATGTGAGTTGATGTATAGTAATTAAAGTAGATGTGATGTCTAAGTATGATTGAATCATATTATTTAATTATATTGATAATATTTATGATATTGGAATTGAGTTAGATTTGAGTTTGATGAAATTTTGAGTTAAAACTTTTATATACAAACATGTTCTAAAATTTGACTATGGCTCGTCAAGGTACAAATTCTGCTGCAAGACAACAATAACCTGACTGTTTAGATTCTATGGTTCAAAACACACCTTCCATTTTTGCATAAATTTCAGAATATATTCTTTTTTTCATAATATTTCAAAATGTCGTTTGTTTTGTGTTTTCTGTTTTTACAGGTACGTTAAACAACAATTGCGAAAATGCGCTTCCCCCAGCACCCGATAATCACAAAAATGCTAGCTTCTCGTTTCTAGATCGTAAGTGATATGTGTCTTCCATATTATATCTACTCTCGATTAATTATGTTATTTTACACGATTCATTATGTTTATGTTGTGCTTTTGTAGCCTGCTTCTGGACTTACTGTGGGGGAGGTTCGTGTAATAAGACCTCCATATTCACACACTCGTGCGAATGTGATGAGGGCTACTTCAATTTGTTCAACTCCACTTCTTTTCCTTGCTACAAAGAATGTGAGAATATGGCATATCAACTTCCTCTAACAATTTATTTCCCATTTTTTTATAGATTTAATTTTTTTCTGCTTCAAACACTTCACGTGTTTCTAGCGATATTGTTATTTTGTCTAATTTCAACACAAATATTTCTCGGAATTAACGAATGGCACGTCGATGCTTGTTTTTACTTTTAACAAATGAGACACAAGCCGAGGATCATTCATTGGGATTGTTTTTATATAAATATGTATTTAAGTTACTAAGAGATTGTCTCGTATGAAAGCTTAACATACGAATATGCTGCTAGGTGCACTTGGATTGGATTGTGCAAACCTTGGGCTCAACATGAACAACTCAACAACTTCGAGGCCTGGTTCTAGCCAGAGTTCGGCTGAGGACAGTAACAGTCCTGGTGAGAGTAGATTCTCTGGAGTGTCGAATTTGATTGTGCAAGCTTAACTTTTTTTTTTTTATTGGTTTTCAGGATTGCGGTTGATCCCGAGTCTCGAATTTGATTTGTTCATTGCATTGGGTACAACATTGGCTCTAGTTGTAAGGAAGTATGGTTAAATGATACAGAGTAGCCATAGTATGTGTGCTTTCATGGTGCTGTGTTGTGGAACTATTGAGACATGAGATACAATTCGTGTACTTCTGAGACATGGAGTCGCAGATTCCAAGCAGTTTTATGTGTATATAATTTTTGAAATGTTGAATATTTATTGATGTTGACACCTACTCCAGTGTGTAATTAGTCCATACTTGTATCATCTGTAGCAATTTATCATTAAAAAAAATATATTACCATTCTTTCCTAATAATATTATGGTTTTTAGTAAATTATAAAAGATAAAATATAACTAATATACAATTATATGACAAGTTCTTAATTTTTTTGTTATAAATTACAGTTTTAAGTGTTGAATATAAAAATATATAAGTAGATTGAGTTTTATTTTTTTATTTTTTTATTTTTTTTTTTAATTCGTATTGTTCATAGCGTTTGGAAGGAAATAACAAAATTATCACATTATAATAATTTCAAAAATTGTGAACAGATATATACTATAGTAAACATACTGACTTTAACAAAAAGAACTGAATCATATTGTTTGGTTTTCTTTATTTAATTAAAATAATTATCTTGTCCATTGCAAATGAAGCTAGAACAGTCATTGTTGACAATTCTCCTGAAATAGTGTTAATAATGTACTAGATCAAAATGACTCAATTAATAAATTCTAGTGTTTCTCTATTAGTGAAGTTTCTAGAAAAAAAAATATCAAACGACGCAATGCACCTTAAGTCGCTACGAAAACAACCTCCTTGTGAAATTACAAAGGTAAGGTCTGCGTACAACTGACTCCCAGACCCCCCAGACCCAAACTATTAGTTGGAAATATATTGGGTATGTTATTGTTGTTGTAATATGATTTATAATTATAATTTAATGTAAATACTATTTTTAAATAAATGTCAATATTTTAGATATAATGATGATAAAAAAAATTACAAACAAATAAACAGCTCTCATTAGCAATTCTAACATTTGACTTTTCTGCCTCAAATTGAAATTTATTAACCTCAAATAAAAATTTCCCAACATAATATTTTTTTTTATATAAAAATTCTTAATTGTGAGTTATCATAAAAAAAGACAAAGAAAGAGGAAACATGTTCATATTGTCTAATATTTAATTTATAAAATCCATTTTAATATTAACAACTAGTACAACTCCCGTGTATTACACGAGTGTTTGCTAATTTTTTTCTTAAATTTAAAATTAATGAGAAAAAATAGTTGAAAATTTAAATACCTTTTATAAAAGTATATATATTATTATATATTTAGTATGATACTTTTTATTTGTGCGACTTACCTGTGTTATATTATAAATAAATTTTTTAACTTACAACATATAACTACATTAAATATAAATATATCAATTGAGAAATATTTTTATTTTTCTAATGGATTTTAATAAATATTATTATTTATTATTATTATTATAAGATAAATATAATTTATTTATTTCATATATACAATATGGATGTGAAATCGAAGATCATCAAAAAATGATTAATTTGATATATTATATATATGTAAAATCGATAAGAAATATAAAAGTTATCAACTTTTAAAATACATTTACAATTCAATAGCTAATTGAAGAGAAAAATGCTACATTGCCAATCTAGTATACAACTATATTGACAACACAAGTGTAAACACTCATAAAATTAAAAATAAAAAAATACACAAGTGTAAACATCCACTTGTGTATTTTTTTTTAAAAAAATTTTATGAGTGTTTATACTTGTGTTGTCAACCTAGTTGTACACTAGGTTGGTTATGTAGCATTACTCAATTGAGGAAGAAAATCAAAATTCAGGGATATCTTAGTCACTTAGTACCTCACTATGTAAAATTACAAGGAATTAAAGGGTTATATTAGTACAAGTGATATTAAAATACCTAACTTAGTTAAATAATATTTATGGAATGTCCGAATCTAGATAATTAACTATTAATATATCAATATTATTTGTCCAAACCTAATTACGAAGCATGATTCTTCGCCAAGTAGGATTCTGAAGCACCAGAAGCAGCCACGTAGGCTCAGTGCATCCAGGAATTATATAT